AGGCACGTATGCACACAGGCACGTATGCACACAGGCACACGCGCACGCACAGGCACGTATGCACACAGGCACACGCACGCACACAGGCACGTATGCACACAGGCACGTATGCACACAGGCACACGCACGCACACAGGCACGTATGCACACAAGCACGTATGCACACAGGCACACACACGGCCGCCCAGCGCAGACGCGCACGGTGCGTTCCCCACCTTGTGTCCCCGCCTCGCTTGCCCCTGCCCGTCCCCTTACACTCTCGGGAGAACCTGAGTCGCACTGTGGTGGCAGAGAGGCACCATGACATCACGTACGGGGACACGTAAAGTGACGTGGGCAGAATCTGCACTGCCGTGGCTGGGTTCTGGCGCTTTCTACTCTCGTGAGCCCAGCTACTAGCACTTCTAATTTTCCCAGAGGATTTTACAAGCGACCTCACAATGCCCCTGGAGATGAGGCAAGAACCGTCAGCCAAATCACAGAAAAGGAAACGGAATGAGCAGGGCCTGGGGCTTGACCAAGATTTTAAGAACCGACAAGGCACAAAAAGAAATCGCAGGGAAGAACTGACCGCCCCTCGGATCAGCGCACGCGGCCGGCAGCTCCTGCGGTCACTGGCCTTAAGGGCCCACACCCTCACGGGCAGCGGCAGGAGGCGGCCCGCGCCCGACACCCCCGCCCCCGGGAACTGCCTGCTCCGACCGCCCGCCCGCCCGCGGTCCAGGGGCGGCGTCCAGCCCACCTGAGGCTCGGTGCCCGCTGGGAGACGACCCTGGGACGCCCTCACTGTCCCGGCGCGCCCCTCTCCCTGGCGAGTCCCCACTCGAGTCTCCACGCGCACTGCTCCTGCGCCCGTGTTCGCGGAGCGCGCGTAACCCGTCCCTCTCTGCGCCGCCGTCCGACGGCACCTGCCACCCCGCCCCCACCACCCGTGACCACCCTGAAGCAGCGTCCTCCTCGGCTCTGGGAGCCAGGCCTGACCGGGCAGCACCGCACAAACATCTGAGGGCGGGGCTGGCAGCACGGAGGGTGAAAATCTCACGCAGCTGCAGACGGACAGGTCAGCAGGGAAGGAAGTTGGAGAGAAGAGGAGGAGGAGGAGGAGGCATTTTGTGTGGTCCCACACAAAGGTCCAAACTCCCGAGAACACTTCCCGAGCGATCAGCCACCCAGCCAAGCCTCGAGGGACGTCCTTCGAGTGGCGACGACAAGGACAGAAAACAGCGCTGGTCAGAGGACGGCCCGGTGGCTGCAGGACACCCGTCGAAGCAGGCTTCGGCGCCAGAAAACCGCCCGGGAGACGAGATTCCTAGCGGGAGGCCACAGGCGACGCGACCGCAGCGGGGCAGCCGCGGCGGCGGGCGACCAGCAGAACCAGGATGCGGACGTGGGCAGTCACCACCACGGCCGGCCCGACGCTTCCGGAAACTTCTACCCAACGAGAGCGGGATGCACACGGACACTCGAAGACAAAAGCAACAGTCAGCATAGGGCGGGGGCGGGGCCGCGGCAGGCCGAGGCCGGGGTAAGAAGGCTCAGGCGCTGCGTCAAAGAGAAGGGCGCTCAGAAAGGGCTTCCGGAGCCCAGCGCAGAGCAGAGGGCCCCGAGGCCGTGGCCGCGGCGCCGTGGGCCTGCCGAGCGGCTGACACACGACCAGCACCCGAAGAGGACAGAGTGGCTGACCGCGGCGCAAGGCAGAAATCTGCAAGCGGTGGGACAGCGCAGGTGACATTCCTTGCGAAATACAAGCGGCTCGAGGAGAAAGGCCTCTGCGGCCCCTGACCGCGGCCTTCCGTGGGCACAGGCCCGGGGGAAGGTCGCCGGCAGTGCTGGCCCAGGGGCAGACAGCCCCTGAATGGACAGCTGCGCCTCGCTGGGGGCGGGACCCCCGAAGTTACTCATGTCCGTGCTCTCCGCGCGGACCTACAGACTCAGGAGGGTCCCCAACAAACGCAGGAGACTGCTGGGCAAGACACGGGCAAACCGGCTCTAACTTTCCCATGGAAACCCAGCGGACTCGGACACCAAGGGCGAGGCCAGATACTGCGCCCTCGGGGCTTGTGCGGGGCCGGGCCTCGGCTGCGCCGGGGAGGCAGGAGCCTTCGCGTGACCGCCACTCCCTACTGCGACCTGCTGGTCTGTGGCCGCTCAAGTGGGCAAGACCACGTCTGCCCCCACGTTCCTCTCCCACTGTGGACACTTCCGCAAGGAGGAAACGCCACCAAAACAGACGGGACGTGGCCGGAGGGCGGATTTCCCTGCAGTCACCACCCCGAGGAGGCGCCACCTCAGCCCGGCCTCCCCCCGCCGCCCGCCCGCAGGGACCCAAGCAGAGGGGCGGGACAGGTCGGCCAGCTGCCGGCAGGCCAGGCGGCCCCCACACGGAAAGACCCCGACGCCCTCCCTCTCGCTGCCTTGTCCGGCCGCGAAGGCCCGCGCTCTCGTGGTAAGCGGGCATCTCCTGCGGGCAAACCTCAGCGACCCCTGGGCCCGCAACCACGAGAAGCCGGGGTCCGCTTCCTCCCACCCCGGCCAGCGAGGCGGCACGGAAACACCAGGGCGAAACCCGGGGAGAGGGTGCGTCCGTCTCTGCGGCCCACCGCCCGCTCGGGCGCAGGGCACAGCAGACGGGGCCGGCCACCGGCCAGCCTCCCTCCGCCCCTCGCAGGGTCTCTGACTCAGCAGCCCGGGGCTGGGCGCGTCCCGCCGCCGCGGGGGCTCCGAGAGAAGCACTGGCCTGCAAGGAGAAAGCAGCTCTGCCCAAGCTTCTTCCCGCAGAGCAGCAGCACCGCGCTCAGAAGCAGGGCCGGCCGAGGGGGCTGGGCACAGGCTGCACTTCCCAACTCCCAGAAGCTGCAGGACAGACAACTGTTTCCCTGCTAGAACCTTCCACACTGTCTCCCAGGGGATCATCTGCCCTCCCTGCGCTTCTCTTGTGCTTCTCCAGACACACCCCCAAGGCTGAACCCCACAGGCATCGGCACCTGCCCAGGACATACGTCCCTCGTCCGTCCCTCGACTGGGAAGGAAAGCCCCTCAGAGCACCTGGCCTGCCCGGGCCTGGCTGGCCCCTGGCTATGCAGCCTGCTCAGGCGACCCAGGGGTGCAGGAGGTGTCCTCCAGCGGCGCCCCGCAGGCAGAGGTGGTCTTTTTTACTTCAGCTGTCTTAAGCCTGTATTTACAACTTTTCCATAAAAAGCAATTGCCTGGATTTATGTTCTTTGTCTCTGTCTCTCACAGTCACACACTTACTCACACTCACCCCTCCCCCAGCAGACAAGTGGAAATTTCCACTGAAGTACTCAGTGGCTCAAGTGGGTGGGGGCAGAGGAACCGGGGGCCGGGGGAGGGGTTGGAGGGATCTGAAGCCAGGAAGCCTCTTGCCAGCCTTCTCAAAGGTAGGAGTCGGGAGGCATCTGAATGCCACGCTCTCCTGAACTACCAGGCAGTTGATTATTCCCTTCAAATGCACAGATCCTCTGCACAGAAAAGCCCCATTTCTTTTTATGTCAGATGGGACTCAGGCATCTGAAAACCACTAAACCTGCTGCAGAACCTCAGAAATCTTGGCGCACAGCCACCAGTCTCTGCAGCAGAGCTGCCCACGGCTCGTGGTCAGGCCGGGGCTGGCCTGGAGACTGCTGGCAGGAAAGCCCGAGAACCGGGACATGAGCGACTAACGGGAGAACAGGCCGCGGCGCTGGAAGGGCGGCCTGTGCACGCCAGCTCCCTCGGAGTAAGCTGCAGACACATTTGGGGAGGGAGTCGGTAAAATTCCACTGATTCACCACAGAGCTAGTTATTTTTATCATTCTGCTTACCCGTAAACAGAAGGGCATCTTTCCTGCCGGCCAGCACAGCCCAGCCCGCGGCAAGCCCCCACCCACATTAAAACACACAGCTCGAGAAAGGACCCAACAGGCCCAGGCCATGTCAGCAGCACTCCTGCGTGCCTTCAGGAGGGCCCGGGCCGGCCAGCGCGGTGGAATCGGCACAGCAAGCCGGGGGCTGCACGCTCCCAGCCGGCAGGCTGAGGGCCTCCTCTGCACCAGGCTCCACTCCCAGCCTCGGCCCAGCCCCCTCTAGTGGAGAGAGCCTGGGACGGCCGGCGCAGCCTGGAGAAAGACCAGAGCCTGGAGAGGGCACGGAGATCAGGGAAATGCCACCCCCCACAACCCTCCTGGCGGGCCCACTGCCCTCTTCTGCACACGTGACGCTCCCCCGTCAGACTGCAGACAAGCTGTAGGAATGTTCTACAACCCAAGACAAGCCCCCGTGAAACACGGGGCCTCTAGGGACCTCCCAGGCCAAAGCAGACCAAACCCCAGGCTTTCTTCACCCCCCACCCGCCTGGTTCATGCCCCCGTGGTCTCCAGTCGCGGCCACCAGGGAAGCTGGTCCCTAAGCCCAGCTTCTTCCACCCTGACCTGTCCAAGCAGCACAGGGTCACCTGGTCAGCTTCCTGAATTCGCAGCACTGATGCAGCGGTGACCGCCCCGGGGAGAAGTCTCAGTGCGCGCTGCAGCACTGACAGTCCCGTGCCCGACAAAGGTCACCAGGCTCCACCTGCCAGCGGGTGGCACGCAGAGCAGCTTTTTTTTTAAACCAAGTTTGTCCATGGTGCCCAGCTGTGTAGGACCGACCCACCGATTGCGGCCCTCGCAGACTGTGCTCAGGAAGCGCCCGGGGGCCGTCAGGACGCTGTCCCACGGGCAGGCGGGCCCGCCTAGCAAGGCAGACCGACAAGTACAAACACGGGCTCAGCGCCGCGCGTCTGAGGCTCAACCTGGCCACCAGACGCCAAGTAACACCGCCGGGCACCGCGTCTTCCGGCCCGTGGCTCGGGCAGCCGGGAAGCGCTGCTGGCCTCACCTTTCTTTCAGGTCCAGTGAGGCAGGAGCAGGACTCTGGGGAGGAGGGGAGGCTGGAGCGCGGTGGAGAGAGCCCCCCATGAGACGGAGTCACTGGGACAGAGGGGTGGCATCAGCCGGGGCCGGGTGGGGCTGACGGCGTGGGCCTGGGAGGGGCCTGGGTTAGCAGACTCAGGCAAATCCCTGAGGCAGCTGACATCAGAGCCACGACATCAGAGCCACGACACCACTAAGGGCCACCTCGAGACCCAGGGACACACGGGACAAGCCATTTCTTCCCAGAAAACGTAGAAGCAGCCAGCACCTATGCCAGCAGCAGCGGGAGGGCGGCTCTCGGGCGTCCGGCTCCTCGGAGCAGCTAAGCTCCGGCCCTCACGCGCCGCCTGGATCCCAAGTCAGTGCCTCGCCAAGCCACAGCTAGTGGCCAGGCCTCAGGACTGTTCTGGAACAGTCGCTCTTCTGAGTGCTGAGTTCCCATCAGGCAAGTCTACTCTGTTTCTTCTTCTTTTTTTTAATGATTTATTTATTTATCCATACAGAGCTGGGGTACAGGCCAGAGGTGCAGGGGCGGTGGGAGCTTCAGAGCCAGAGCGGGAAGCAGAGGGGAGACAGGAGAGGTCTGCCACGCCCGGTGGGTCACCTCCGGGGCGGGGATCGAACTCGCACTGAAGCAGCTGCACCCGCTTGCAGTGCTGCGTCCTAACCCGTGGTGCCACCAGGGAGGGCCACTCCGTTTCTTCTTGCCAGCTCCGTGGACGCCCTCGGCCCAGCACACCCTGGCTGCGACCCGCTTCCGGAGGCTTCCGGAGGCTTCCGGAGGCTTCCCGCGGCGCACGCAGAGCGCTTGCCGTGAACCACGCCTGAGGCCAGCATCCCCCGGCTGGTGCCAGGGCGGACGGCAGCCGAGCCATCAGGCAACCGCCCCCGGGGCTCACACTGCAGACGCCCGATACCACGCAATCCTCATCTCCATCAGGTGGCCCCAAACCACCCAGCAGTCCAGCTCGCTCACCACCACGAAGAACAGCGACCAGCGGTACCACGGCAAGCACAATGCGAGGCCGCTCGGAGGCAGGCTTGCCGCCATTTGCACACTACGCGGGGCCTGCGGCGTGTCCACAGGACAGGGCCTTTGGCTCTCACACACGCACACACGCCACTGCCGGTGGAGTGTATCTGTGTAGCTAGAGTTTCAGAGGACACAGTTCTGAAAATATAAGCTGAAATAAAAGATTCCTGAAGACAAGCGGAAGATGCTGCCTCCCCCAGGGGCTGGGCGCCACCAACCGCACCATCACGCGCAGACGACACACAACCCAGTCAAGGGCGCGGCTGCAACGCGCGGGGCGCCTGCGAGTCAACGCCCAGAAGCAAAGCCTGCTGGGCCAGGGAACGAGGCGGCGGCACAGCCCCGGTGGGACACGGTCCTGGCAGGGCCAGAGCAGGCCGGGGGGCGGGCGGGGCTTCCCCGCCCGCCCAGGACCTGCCAGGCCCGCACTGGGGGGCAGGGACCGCGCGCCCCATACTTCCTCTCTTGTTCAGAGCTTCCCTGAGAAGCGCTCTCTCTCTTTCAGGGCTTGACCACATCCTACACGCTCCTTAAAGGTGGCAAAAGACTCATCGCCTGGCTGCCACAGCCGAGCTCTTCGTGGCACGTCACACGAACGCCAGCTCCCCCCGCTGCCCCACCCGGCCCACCAACGGGCGGCCGCGGGGACTGGCCGCTGTGTCTGCTCGTTGCCTGGCAACGCCTCAGCGCCCTCTTCAGAGGTGTTCTCGAGAAGCCAGCTGCACCTAGCACAGAACAGGGTGCTGCAGGAAAATGGGGTCTGCACCAGAGCGGCGTGGCCACAGCACTTCCACGGCAGCGTCTCAGGACCACGCCGACCCATGGCCCTGGGGTGGGAGAATGGCCGCTGGGGTCCGTGTCCGAGGTGGGGGCCAGAGACGCCAAGTGACTCGCTCGGGGCCGTGCACACTGGGTTCCCCCGCCACCTACCTCCAGAAAGCGCAAAAATGAGTTAAGATTCTTCCTTTACACCAGAAACTGTGGCTTAGGGAAGCCTCAACCAACACAGCAAACTGGTCTCAGGAATTTCTCTAAGAGAATTATTACGACAGAATCAAAGCTCTGCCCTGTATCTGAGGAAGCAGCTGCATACACGTGAGAAAAAACTCCATGACGAGCATGTGGTGGCTGGGGGGCGGATGACACTTCGGCCAAGAAGCCCATCTCCTTTCCGTTTGTCAGGGCACGCTGGTACGCGGCACTGTGTGACCCAGAAGCTCAGGCTCCCATCAGAGGCGGCGCCCCGAGGCCAGCCTCCCCGCCCCCTCCAGTCAGACCTCCAGGCTTTCCTTTTGGGCTGGCTTTGTCTGCCCCTTGTTTCTCTCTGCTCCGCCTGACTGAAATCGCCTGGCCTTTGTCTCTCCCCCGTTTCTCGACATCTGCAACCCCACGTTTACCAAGCACGCTCTGAGTATTGCTCCCTGGAGTCCTCAAAGGCCCAAGCTGGAGAACACCAGGGAACGACGGGGCTCCGGCTGCGGGGCCAGGCTGCCCCCCACCGAAGCTCGGTCCCAGACGGGCGCCAGCTCACGCTCACCGGAGCCAACGCCAGCCAGAACGACGAAGCCGCTCAGTTCTGGCCCGGCAGCCCGGCCGGCAGGCAGGCGTGCGCGGGAACAGCAGGGCACCCCACTCCTGACGCTGCACCGCGAGAGGGCCCTGGGCACTCCCCGGCACCCGCGCTGGGCACCGTCCTGAGACAGCTAACACTCCGCCGCAGCCCGCAGCCCGCAGCCCGCCTGCACGGGAGCCGGGGAACGTACCCTCCTCTGCTGTGCTGCTGGCTGTGGGCGCGCATCTTGTAGGGGAGGGCTCGCTCCCCCAGGTTCTCCAAGGTCCTCACGATGGCCCCTCTGTCCATCAGGGCTTCCAGTGTGCGTTTCAAAGCCGCAGCGGTCTCTGGCTGGGGGTTCCGTTACCGTTTTAAAAAAGAAAAAACAGAAAAAACAGCAGAGTCAACGCGAGCCAGAAGGACGCCGCCGCTCAGTCCCGTCCCGGCGGCCTGCTGGTGGCGCGTGCTCGGGGACAGCAGCATAAACTTAACCCAGAGGCGTGATGGCGGGGACGCCAGGTCGCTCGTGGGCGCTGCAGAGCTAGGCTCGGGCCCAGGGGCGCAGCGGAGGGCCCCGTTCCCCTGACGACACTCAGGGCTCCAAGCAGTGTGCCCCTGGGCAGGACGGGGGCGGTCATCCCACAAGACCAGAGGCTGTCTGTCCCCAGAGAAACCGGGAGAGAGAACCCAAGCGGGGAGGACGAGTGAGGCCTGCCCCCAGGGGCCGGCACTGGCCGGCACTCTGACCCACCCACGCAGACACCTGCGTCCACGGCCCAGAGGCAGACAGTGCGCCCGCGGCCCGGGGCGCGGGGCAGAAGCGGCATGCTCGGCTGGCACAAGGGCTTCCCGAGAGGAGCCCCAAAACATGACGTCAGAGCCGGAAAGAACTGCCAGACAGCTTAAGGGAATCCGGGGAAGCAGGCTGGGGGCCCCCTACGAGGGCGGTTAGGATGCTGGTGCCCGGGATGCCCGCGGCTCTCTGGGCTGACCCGGCGGTGCCCGCGGGGGCTCGCGGCAGGCTGAACTGCACACGGCAGTCATGGGCGCAGAGGGCCCGCAGGAGCGGGAGAGGCCACGGACAGAGAACCTCGGGGCGCACGATCACTCGGGGGCTGGCGAGGGCTCCGGGGTCCGAGAAGCCAACAGAAAAGGCACTCACAGGCCAGGGACGGCCAGGCACGTCTCTCAGAAACGAGGGAGAGGCCTGGGAGGGGGCAGCACAGGGAGGACCCGGCCGGGCGAGGCTTCCAGGGCAGAGGCGTGAGCGGCGCAGAGGCGGGGACCCCGCACGGGAGCGGGGGCCGAGGCAGTGCGGCTGGAGAAGCACACACCAGCCAGTGGCTGAGCGGCGCCACCCTGAGTGACAGGAGCCCGGGCGCAGCCAGGGAAGGGACAGTCACGGCTGGGGTGGCTAGGAAAGGGGCCCACGCCGCCCGGAGACCCAGGGGAAGGGGGGGTGGACCAGACGCGAGCCAAGACCGCAGGGAGCGCGGGAGCCCCCGCCCAGGGCCCGCCCAGGACCCGCGCAGAGTGCGGGCCCCCGCGGCGCAGGTGGAGGCTGACGGCATTCCCGTTTCCCTTCACATTGTGGCCTATGTGGAGTTTTAAAAAGTCCTCGCTGAAGATCAGAAGTTGATGTATTGAACACAGAAATGTCCTGAAAACAGACGGGTCAAGCCTCGCGGGCACGAGCAGGTGCGCACCTGCCCGTTCTCATCTGCAGAGACGGCGTCTTCCCAAGCGTCAGCGGCTCACGGCAGTGCCACGGATTCACAGACGCCCCTCCGCCACACCGGGCCCGCTGCCGTGCCGTGGCGGCGACCTGCCTGGGAGGCATCAAGGAACTTACGGTAAGCTGGCGAGCGTCCACCCACATAAAGAACGGGCAAGGTTTAAAAAAAACCTTGGCTGATGAGTCCTCTGATTAGCTTCCCAAGTCGTAATTTTAATTTCAATTTTACCTGGTTCAAGTGGAGTCGATCTCAATACGTCGTCTTGTTTAAATTCCAAGTGTTCAGTTTGAAACACAGAGCCCCCTTTTCTGAAGCCAGAGATTGTGAAATAAAAGATTTTCTTCTGTCCAAAAGAAAAAAAAAAAAAAAGGGAAGAGCTACCTGCCAAGGATACAGGAAAGTATCAACACCCGCTGCTGACTCTGGCAGGGCAGGACTACCACAGGCTGCCTGGAGGGCCACGCTGTCCTACACTCTCGGGTCACACAGGCCTTCCCAGGAAAGATGGAGGGGGCAGACGCAGGTCTCGATGTCCGGGGCCCGCCGCGCCACGTCCCGCCCTGCAGGCACGGCTCTGTGAGCACACAGCCAGCCGGCGTCTCCGGGTCCCTGCCACCACGCTGGAGGCGGGTCTGTGACTCCGGCCGGGCAGACAGACTGCGCTGCCCCTGCCCTGTGAGGACGGGTGAGGAAGCCAGCAGGAACTCGGTGCGGCACAGATGGGGCCACGAGCCTGGCCACCGAGGCGCAATGGCGTCCCCACGGCGGGGTCTGGGTCATCGAGGCCACTCCCGGGCTCCGAGTCCAGCAGACCCCAGTCTGGCTGGTCAAGCCCTGAGGACGCCGTGGTGTGTGGAGTTTGCCTCTGTGGCCCCCGAGCACCTCACTCTCCGCTCAGACACCAACCCTGACTTTCTTCACTGCGTGACACCCACAGGTGCTACCAGAACGGATAGGCTTTGGGCAGGAAAAAGGAATTCTGCCCACAAACTCGTAACACTCAACAGTGCATAGGGCCTCGAGACAGCACGTGCTCTTGCGCCCGAATCTCATCCACCACGATGCCAACCACTCCGGGCAGGCAGCAGGTGCTTCTCAGCGGCTTCCCACCACCTGAAAGCAGCTCCCGAGCTTCCTTCCGGGCCGCCCAGGTGCATGAACACTGGAGAAACTAAGGAAAAGCATCTGCGAACGCGAGTGTGCAGGAACTGGGCGAGCAGGTCTCTGCCTCAGTTCCTCACGTGAGCTCTACAGCCCCGGGGCTCAAGGAGTGATGCAAGCTCCGGGCAGACACGGTGACTCGGCCGAGGGTGGGTAGAGTGCCTACGTCTCAAACTGGGATTTGGCTTAAAGGCGGGGGACACCCACGAGAGGACCCCTGAGGTGGGCCATCCTGACCACCATCACCAGCACTGGCACCTGAAGGGTCTGAAGCCAGTTCAAGGCGCCAGCCACGCAGTGAAAGGCATCCCCGGGCCCAGCTCTGGGGAAGGTGCCGCGTCACGGTGATTGCGAGTCAGCGCAGAGTAGCTTTGTTCCTTAATCAACCCGTTTGTTTCTGAGCCCTCACATCAAGGCCCAGTGCAGGTGTCACTGAAGGACAAATATGGGGGTTCACTTGCACCTGAGCCACTGTTCCTTTGGTGAAGGGAAAGGCAGAGTCGGCAGAGGGCCCTTAGCGGCTGGGCACCTGGGAGCCCGGGTGATGGGATGGCTCCACCTCGCTCCCTAGTATGTCAATTCAGCTGGCCTGGCGCTCCAAAGCCTTGGACACTGTTAAAGCTCCCCAGCTCTTGCTGACAAATGTGGGACCCAGGAAGTTGGGCTTCTCGTCATCACTCCAAACACAAATGAATTTGCAGTTCACAAGTGAACTTCAACAAAGATCTCCCCAGCCTCTGATTCAAGGAAGGGAAGGCCCCTTCCCTCCTGGTGAAGATGCAGCCTGAGTAGCAGAGGCAGTTTCATGCCCACCAGGTGACTGCGCCAGGCCTGGAAAGGCTGCCCACTCTGAGCTACCCAGGCTCCCAGTCCTGAAGACATTCCGGAATCTCGGCCTGCTTATTGGGAGTTTTCCATTTCTAGTCATTCCCCCACCCCCACCCAGATGCATTTACAGATGAATAAAAGATGGGAAACAGGAAGACTGGCAGGAGTCCTGGTTACTATGGCAGCAAGCAATGAAATGCCAAAGCGCAGGAAACTGATAGCAAGCAGGGAGTCAGGTGGACAGGGCCTTGCCTAGCAGCTCCTCCAGCAGGGTCCAGCCCCTGCCTCCGCCTCCTATTTCAACCCCTCAAACAAGGCGGGGATGGGGGGGAGGGGGGGAGGCACTGGAAGGACAGGGAGACCAGGGGAAGAAAGACTCATCAAGTATTTTGATAGTAGAGGCAAAAGGAACATACATGTTTATTTTAGAGCTCGTGAACCTTCTACACGTCAGTGGATAGTCTAACAAAAGTATTATTTGGGTGTGGGCTAAGAGCGATTTTTTAAAATACTCCCTGGTGGAATCAGAAACTCGGTTTTTGGCCACGAATCAAGTTTGCCTATCCTGTGAGTCAACAGACCAAAAGTGCCCACAGACTTGAGGAAGGCCCGTCAGAGCTGGCTCTGCTCTGCAGGGCACGGAGGAAGGCTGGAGCAGCAGAGAGCTGAGGGGACGCGAATGCAGAGAACACTGAGACTCAGCTCTTTCTAGGGGAGGTGGCTTTTCCTCCAATCCCACCTCTACTTCATTTACCCCGCCTACAGCCTGGAAGTGTAATTTAGGACTCCAGCCCCCTCCCAAACTGGCTCTTCAAGGCTACCCCTTAGCTTTCTCCGATGCTGCAGGTGCATGGGCCTGGCACACAGGATGTGTTCCGTAAATATTATCTGTTGACTACCAGAGTCAAAGAACAAATGGGAAGATGACTTCAATTAGGAAGGAAGAAGGGATTGCACCAAGTCACCGACTCAAGGAGAAGTAAGACTATGCTTTTTGCTGGTGAGTCTGCCATTTAAGATGGCCCCAAAGCAGGGCTGACGTGCCCTCCTGGGAGCCTGAGGAATCCGTGTCCCAAAATAAGATCCTACCAGGTAGGCACCTGGTACTGCTGACCTCACACTCCCTGCTTACAGATCAACAAACAGTAACTGAGGCATCTTTAAGCAGAAACATAAGACAAGGCTATGTATACTAAGCAGGTGACAAAGACCCGAAGAGACTGCTCCCCCACACCCAGAGGCTCAAAGGAACCAAGAGCAATGGCTCAGGGCCTACCATGCCAGGGATGAGGCCAGGTTACAGGATACTTCACCACCACAAAGAGCAATGATCCATCACCAGCCCCGCCTGCACATCTGCTCGGTGTCCTGGACCGAGCGCACGCTGGACACCACCCTGAGAAGATCCCACGGGCCAGAAAGCCAGAGCAAAATCCAATCTTCCACTTCAAGGCCCCTTCAAATGGGAACAATTACTACATTGCACTTAAGGAAGTGAGAATAATTTTAAAGCTCCAATTGTGCTTCGTCTGGTCATTAACTTGTTCTCTTAGGAAAGAGAAGTGGGCGACAGGCAGTGAAATCTCAACCTTCGCACACTCAGTAGAGAGTAGGCAACAGGACTTA